CCCTTCAGACAAAAATGAACACATACAGTTTTGTCCACGTTCATTGTCATTCGAGTTATTCTCGGTATATAATATAACATAATATAACAGAAGATTGTATTCAGGTATAAAAGAAAATTCGAATAATTGAATTGCGTTCCACTTTGCAGAAATCTGAAATCATATTTCACTGTGAATAAATTTCATTTATGAAATAATTGAACATGTAAAAACCACAACGAATGTTCTAAGACGTGATCTTGTGAAATTGGTTTGAAAATATTTATGGTTCTGGATTTTTCGTGTTATTGGAAATCTGTTTGTTTTCTTGAAGATATGGAAATGAGTATTTAAGAATATAATGATAAAATATCAAATGCATATCATTTCTATACAAAATATTTCAATTCTTCATCAGTTATTGCATCAAGCAACTCTTCGAATGAAAGCAACATGAAGTTCGACTAAAATTACATTTTCATTAAATTCTAGAACGAACATTGAAAGAAATTCAATTAGGAAGTTCTCCATCGTCACGAACAAATCCTTTAAATTCATATTCGACTGAAGTTGTTATAAAGTTTCAGCGTTGAATTTCATGCAACAAATGTAATAATAGATATGAAAACAAAGTTGAATAGGTTCAACAACTATTACGATAATTTCACTTTCAGTTGCTCTATAAACCTCGAACCGTTGAACTCTAAATAAAACCGAATGCCTGCCCCATTTAACTTTGAAAAGTTTCATTTGATTTCATAATAGCTTTTCAATTTTCTTAAACTATATTTTTAATCTGGATGATATTGTGACTGTTATTATTGTCAATAAACATTTCGCACATGGTGAAAATAACCTCATTGAAAAGTAAAGTACAATCAGAAACACTGGATGATGGATTAGTTTACCAGTATGTAGAGTGTTGGTTTTTGTTTCTTAGCTCAAAGATTTAAATGAATCAATAAAATCCAAAACAATGAAACTATATATATATATATATATATATATATATATATATATATATATATATATATATATATATATATATATATATATATATATATATATATGTATAGTAAATATGAGACTCTTAATCGAAGTTTAACTTCGGGGAAATTCTTAATCGAATTAATAGTATTCAATGACTTGTGAATCTTGAAACTAGCTACACTTTTGCCCGCCTGGGCGTGATCTGGAACGATTAGGCATGTGATCATTCGTACACATTGCGGACAATTTTCTGTAGTGTTCGAATGATATATCTACAAAGCCTTCCACTCTCACTCTTGTTGTCATGAGTAGGAATCTTGAACGCCAGGGAGAGTTTATACGTCCTTTCTCCGATAGAGGGAGCCTATGTGAATATTTCACTAGGTAAAATTGTTCTCAATTTGGTGTAGGAGCTATGTTCGTTTTGAAAGTCATCGATTCTTGATTGATTGATGGAATATGGACTGATGATTCATAATAATGATGAAAAAATTGTATCCTATTATCTTTCAACAAGATCGATGAACTTTGCGAAACGCTCTTAATATTCACTCTTGAAAGTGATGGGTTCGTTCTTGTTGACAACATTTGTGTAGACAGCTCCCTGAGAGTTTTATTTGAAATATTTCGATATTTCGATTAAAAGTCTCAGTATTTACTAGTATTTAATGACTTTTGAATCTTGAAGCTATTGAATATATATATATATATATATATATATATATATATATATATATATATATATATATATATATATATATATATATATATATATATATATATATATATATGTATATTTATCTGTACAAATTAGTCATGCGTATTTTGTATAACGAATATGACTTCTATTTCCCAGAGGAAATCATTGGAACAGTCTAAACTGCGGTTTGACAATAAATATCACCTGGGGAATATGTTTAGATAAACGAGATTTTCAGCGTATATCCAGATGGAAAACCGCACGACGAAAAGCTCTCAAGCCCGAAGCAATACCTTCAGGATCGGATCCATCGACGAAAGCATTCACAATAAAATCCTGAAAATTTCCGGTAGTTCACAATAACACTACAACGAAAAATGGATATCTGTAATGACTTCCAAATAGCTAAAACAAACAAAAAGTATATTTTTGTTTGTTGCACAGGGCATACACTAGAGAATTGTTGCTGTGTGTTTTGTTTTGATTTATTTGTGTGGAAACTAGAAAACATATAACTGGTTGGGAGTTCCATAGACGCCTGTTCATTCCATTGATTTTATTTCAAAACGTTCTCTATAAGGTGTTGATTGAAGTATTTTATGTTTCAACCTGAAAACCTTTCTCTATTTCATACTGAAGGTTGAACAATTTTCATTTTATGAATCGATAGTTTCAGTTGTACGAGAAAATATAAGGTTTATAAAGGTGTTCCAGAACTAACGAAAGATTTCATTTGAATAGAAAACACCGTTTTAAGGTTTGATTGTAAGCTTTTCATTGAATCATAAATGGCATAGGGTTATTTATGAATTTCTGCAAATGGGCCCCACGGTTTTGTTTACACATATGGACTCGTTTGTCAAAATTTTCCATAACCATTCTGCATAAATGTGGCTGAATTTCGTTGATGAAACGTTTAATCTTCTCCTTAAATGCATACGGGTATTGAGCTTGTTGACATAGACCTGTGGTTTTAAAAGCCACATAAAATATCTAATGGTGTTTAATCACACGTTCTAGGAGACCATTCTGATCACTGAAACACGACCTGAAATGTTTCATGCAGCAATTGAAATGTTTCATGTGCTGTATGACACCGTCTAGTGGAAACAACATGTTGACCTCGCCAGTAAAATCCTATTTCGGCAAAAAGAACTGCGTTAACAGCGGTCAATTTAAATCTTGCGTTAATTTTGGTACAGTTTTGGGAAAAGAATTCGAGTTTTTGCTAAGTCTCGTATGGTTTCGAGTCTATACAAGAACACCTAAATCGGACAAAATATTGTTGCATAAGATAGTTGCATAAACATGTCAGGACTTGTCAGGCATTGATTAGTTCTATAAGATCTTCAATATAATTCAATTATAGCATCATTTTCATAGTTCTCTTGCATCCCTCGTAAATGTGAAAGTTTAGATGTTCTAAACGATATTTAATACTCGATTATCCTGGAATAACTATACGGATATAGCAGAAATATGACACAGACATAGACTATAGACCGAATAAAATTATAGGTAAGATATTAAAGTTTGTTTTAGAGGTATAGAACTTTAAATTGCAATAAAACAACGATGAATTCGATCATTCGATTGGAAAGAATTTTTTTTATTCGAAAGATAATATTGTGGCATTACATTTCAAATATGATTTTTGGCATATGACCGCCACGGTTGGCTCAGATAAAGACCAATCTGCACGTCCAATTTTCGATGACTTTTTCCAACATCGGCATTAACACGGCGAATATTGTCTTCCAAATGGTCAAGCGTTTGTGGCCTATCCGCATAGACCAATGACTTCACATAGCCCCACAGAAAGTAGTCTAGCGGTGTTAAATCACAAGATCTTTGAGGCCAATTCACAGGCCCAAAACGTGAAATTAGGTGGTCACCAAACATGTCTTTCAATAAATCGATTGTGGCACAAGCTGTGTGACATGTTGCGCCGTCTTGTTGAAACCGCAGCTCCTGGACATGATGGTTATTCAATTCAGGAATGAAAAAGTTAGTAATAATGGCTCTATGCCGATCACCATTGACAACGTTCTGGTCATCATCGTTTTTGAAGAAGTACGGACCAATGATTTCACCAGCCCATAAAGCGCACCAAACAGTCAGTTTTTCTGGATGTAACGGTGTTTTGACATACACTTGAGGATTATCTTCACTTCAAATGCGGCAGTTTTGTTTGTTGACGTAGCTATTCAACCAGAAGTTCGCTTCATCGCTTAACAAAATATACGTAAAATATACGCGATACGTATTCCGCACAGAACCATTATTTTAGAAATAAAATTGCACTATTTGCAAGCGTTTTTAAGGCGTGAGTCTATTCATAACGAATTTCCATCCCAAATGAAAATAAATCACTTCTCAGCTGTTAAATCGGTCGCCATCTTCAACAGTAATGCCAACTTAAAGTTCTATAGCTCTGAAAAAAAACCCTTTAGTTGTTTTATCTTTTGGTAAAGGATTAAGAGCTAGAAACATTTCCCGATCGAAATTAACGATTTCAGTGTAATTTAACAAATTGGTTTGATATGCATTAAAGTTTTCAACAATTTCTCATCAAAAGGTGTCCAGAAAGTCAATTGACATTATTGAAAGAATCCAAAAAATATGAATTTCCAGGAATCATAACAACACAAATTAGAGAAGACAGTGCTTTACAAATTGCTTGGCGTTTCTCAGTATGATATTGACTAAATGTGACACCAACGAGTCTAAGGAATATATAATAAGAGACTCGTACATTCTTATTCGCAATAAATTTGAATTGAGCCAAATGAAATTTTCATACGTAGTCCTCGGTAAAAGAGAATGGTGGGTTATTTACATATCAACCGCTAGAGAATAAATGCGCTGGCAAACGGGTGGGTATTATTCGAAATTGAGTTTCTAGAATTCAATCCAAGTCGTTATATTGTTAAGACTCTAGTAATATAAAAATGGGACGTTCCCTAATATGTTCTGGGAGATGGCATAAATTGGACTTAAATATTATTACGTATATGTGAAAAAATCAGGAGAGCTAAATTTCGTAAGGAAAAAATTCGAAAAATAGAAATAATGTTATATCTGAGCTGCTAATGAGCATGTAGCATGTGACGGACTCATTGTGCATTGTCAATAATCAGCCTGCTCTTAATCGTGATGAAATAAGTGGTTTATTTGATATATTCTCCTCTTTCAGATATATATTTTTTAATTCAGTGGACCTACTGTTTAACGACGGTTCCGAACAGACATTGGGTTTGTAAGCAATGTGCATTACCCAGCATATATCATTATTTAAACTTCTCAAATCATAGACAAACACAAACACCCATGCCTTCACCGGGGCTCGAACCCAAGTTCTACCACTCCATAGTCGAGTGTTCTTCCAACTAAGCTACGGAGACCGGCTTTTTAAAACAGAAAGTATCTGTAATGAATATTTTGAGGTAAGTGATGCTTTCGTCATCTTGTTTATGTTGTATCAAATTCCACATGGACAGAACGGAATGTCGATATTCCCGGATTGTGTTGTATTGTGAGAGAAGAAGAAGAATGTAACTGTATTAAGTGTCGAATAGAAATACGACAAGTTGAAGGCGTTCATGCTGTTCGTCTTGTACCTTCAGTTTTCAACTCAAATTCCACCAAAGAGGTCTTTTCACCGATATTTTTTATATTACCAAAAAGGATTTGACGATTTCTTAACATTGACCAGTGCCATAGTTAATAAAAATATGAGTGAAGTTTCATTTTAGTTTCATAACTTTGCGAATGAAATGTTGAGTGAAATTTTTTTCATAGTTTTTGTTGATTTGTGCCTTCCTCAAATTATAGCTGAAATACTTCGTCCCCCTTGATCCAAGTCAACTATGATGGGAACAAAACAAACGGTGAAAACTTAAATGGACTTAATTGACCATTTTATGGTTGATATCTTAGCCGCTGGTCGCGCCCAGGTGGGGTTGGAAAGCCCTGATATGGTTCTCGAAAATTGACTCCAATCCACCATAGCTATACCTTGGAAGGTCAAATTCTAAATAAATGTGTTGAGTTTAAGGATCTGGGGGTACTTTTCGACTATAAGTTTTCCTTTTCTGAACATATAATTTGAATCACGGCTTCTGCTTCTAGGATGCTGGGTTATTTGGTCACAAATTGGGGCAGCTTTGTTAATCTTGGCACAACGAAAACACTGTACCACTCCTTTATTCGCAGTAAACTGGAATATGCGTCTATAACTTGGTCTCCTTTGTACATTAATTCTATTGTTGACTTGGAGGCAGTTCAGAGGAAATATTTGAAGCATATGTACTGCAGATGTTATAGGCAATATCCTTCGAAAGGCTTCGACCATTCCATCCTAACTGATAGTCTGGGAATTGAATTATTGAAGTTGAGGTGTGAACGGTTCGGCCTAACGTTTCTCTCCAAAATTTTGCACAATTCGATTGACTCACCATTTTTTCTCCTCAGCAAATAAATATTCGCGTACCATGGCCTGCTCTGAGGCGAAATAATACATTTTATGTCACTTAGAGCAGATCAAATGTTATGTCACGTTCAACTGTATATGTAATATTTATGATGGGTATTGCGGTCGATGTGATGTCTATTTTGATCGGCTATAAGTGATTTTGACATGCCACTCAGAACAGCGCAATGGGATGTCGTGATATTTTCATGAATTTCTGTTGTCTATATATGACTTAGTTATAAATAATATTTCAATTTTAGTTTGTTTACTATATGTTACTGTTGCAATCGATTTTAATTTCATTTTTATTCATCAAATATATTTTGTTACTATTTGGTCAACTTCTGCTGACCATATGTATCTTGGTAATAGACAATATTTCATTTTTAGTTTGGTCCGGTTATTGTTCGATACTATTTCAATTTATTTTAATTCAATTTCTTCGTAGTATATATTCGCTTATACTCTCTTTTTTGTTTTTTTTTCGTTCATTTTTTCTTACTTATTATTATTTGTGTGAAATTTGTCATTTTTCTCTGTAATTGGATGTATATTCTGTTGGGAATAAATGTATTATTATTATTATTATATAGATGAAATATCAAGTTGAGTTTTTTGAATTTTTATAACCTTTTTGAATTAAATGATCATTAAAATTTTGTTTCATCTTCAAAACCATTGTAGATATTGTTCATGACATTTAATTTAATTTTTTTGAGGCACTACCTACGGGAAATGTTTGTGTGAAATATTCCTGTATAGTTCACTGAGTTTTTTGAAACTCAGACATTTATAAATCGAAATGGACTGCTTTGAATTATTATTATATTATTCACTGAAATCTTATCCAAAACCACCATATTTTGCATAAAAGTTTTTTCTCTAAAATCAATAAATGTAGATATATACTGCTAGACCCCCTTCTAGATGTGAGATCGAGTGAAATTTGAATATTCTGCTTAACCGAATAGAATCGGCCGTTTGGTCACTTCGATACGGCCGAGGTAAAACATTCCAATTTTACGGAGATTTATCGAAAAATTGGATAGATTATTCCGGCAATAGTATTCGAATTTGATAATCCTTTCCAACTCGTATCGAGAGCTTTCAAACTATATGAAACTGATTTCAACGAAAAATCCATTTATTTTCAAAGTCACGACAATTCTACCACCGAGACGAAATAACGCGGAAAAACGGGATTTTCATGCTTTATTTCGTTTGATATCGATAATCCAAATCTCGAAATATCGACAGAAATGTTTATTTATACGGCTATTTATTATGGGTTATGTGAGATCAAAGATTTGAAGAATTGTATCATACTGATTTGCATTTATGCGCTTTTGAAATTGGTCACTGATTTAGTAGCTATATGCATTTTCTGCTTTCAAAAGGAAATATTTCTCAGAAATAAAAAAAATTTTGCCACGTGAAATTTTTTCGTTTAAAAAATAAATTCTGATTAAACTAATACGAGTACTTACTAGTTTTATTTCAATGAATCTTATGTCATTCTTCACTGGTATTTCACACATCTTCACTATAAAATACTTGTGCATACTCAAAATCTTTATAATAAGATGCAGTTCAACGAGTTCTTTTTTTCTGTGGAAGACGACGATAATAATCATAAAAGAGAAGAATATTTCTATGAAAGAGAAAAGAGATTTACACTCTTTTATTTACAACTATCCATTTTGAAGAAAAATTGGATACTTGTCAAAAATAGATAATAGCATTGTTTTTTAGAAAATGCCATATTTTTAGCGAATGGTACACTACTGTATCAAATATTAGGTTCTTGGTAAAAAAATATTGTCACTATAGCATTTTTCTTTCGAATTCGATGTCAAAAAAAAAACGAATTCTGATAAACTATTTCAGCTGTTTTCACGATTATATTTTCGATCAATGGTCCTTTGTTGCACTTTTTAAGTAGTAAGAGAAGACTTTTTTTCTCAAGATTATATTAATTACGATTATAATCTGATAGAACTTATGTGATTCTTGCCAGTTATTTTGAATAAAAAGAAGTGTCTACTTGACATTTGAATAATGTTAGTTGATTCAATTGTTCTGTTCAGTTTGAATAGATATTTCAAAAAAGCTTCAGTGTTATAAAAATGTAAATGGAATTCAATATGAATGAAAGTTACAAAATTTTTCTTTTTTTTATATGTGTTATACCTAATAATTTTCCATTAGATAGAAATATAGAGATAGAGATATAGAAATATTTTAGATTTAAGGGCAGATATGAAGAAACGATTTCAGCTAATGAAAGTTATTTTTCTTAACAATAACACATGTTGTCTGGAGTTGGTGGATTAGTTCATAAACTGTACACTTTTGGTGCGGTAGGATTCAAGTTCTAGTCGCTGTTAAGATTATTTCTTTTTTTCTACAATTCGGAACTTGAATGATAAATGACTATAAAGTGAGTCTAATTCAACAGAAATTGCATATAATTGAAAAGAATTATTTAACATGCTTCTCCCAGTTGTATCAACTAGATATGAACAAAGACAATAAATTTTTGTCGACCCTCACTGTATAATACCTGTGGTGAAAGTTTTTTTTTTGATACAGTAAATATTGTTTTGTATATTATTATTTATACAGTCAATATTATTTTGTACATTTCAATCTTAATCTCTACAATTATCTGATACATTCAACTATATACCTCATCTTCCATTTATCAAAGTATTACAGTCATCCCCATCTGAGATATCCATTTCTTTAAGGCTTTCTTAATTTTCGCGTTATTGACCATCTCTTTCAAGTACATAGGTAATTTGTTGAAAATTCTAAGCGCTAAATAGATTGACGAACGTTGACCAATTCATTTTTTAAACTTATGAACCTCCCAAGGAAGTACTCCCAATTATACAGGCCAGATATTTGAATCTAGGAATCAATCCTCTGAGCTTCAGTATCAACTTATTAATATGTACATCCCATTTCAATCGGAAATCAAGAATGACACCCAAATATTTGGACTCGTAAGAACAATTAATTTCGAAATGTTTCCCATCGGTGTCTGCAATTCTTAGGATATCCGCAGCAGGTAAAGTTCTACTGTCTATTGCAAATGACATATATTTTGTTTTTCGTAATTAATAGTGAGAAGATGGTTGATCTAACCAGTGCTTAACCGTTCTACTGTCTATTGCAAATGGCATACATTTTGTTTTTTCGTAATTAATAGTGAGAAGATGTTGATCTAACCAGTGCTTAATGAAGTAAAATGAATCCTTGCATGACATATATTATGATATACTATAGAACACTGATGTGAATTTCTCAATGGTTCGATATCTTTCTCAATCAAACCCATCTTGTTGAAATTCGAAATTATTGAAATAGAATTCGTGCAAGATCTGCATCTTGGAATAATTCTTATGTACCATTTGCGCCCTTACAACAAATCTGAATAATGTAAGTCCAGAAGGTTCATCGTTTCAAAGATTCAATTTTATCACATCTTGCCACTTTAACTTCAGAAGGATAAAGTTATTTCCCTCGAGATGTAACGACGTTTCCTATTACAGTTCTGAATGTCTCAGGGACGACGGAAAAGCCACCTTTACGCCCTTATAAGCATTCTGTTACGTGACAATGCTACGTTCTTTGTAGGTTAGTGAAGGTTATCTTCGTCCTGCTTTCCTTGAGTTCTTATGGGTAGTAACATGTAATTGAAAATGTTTTCTTACCGTTAAATCCTGGAATGTGTTTATCTCAGGATTTCGGCTGATTGTGGAACCAATTTTGCCAAATCTAAATTTCCACTTTCTGTTTGGAATTTGTGCTAATCGTGAAAACTGTTTCCTTCATTCCGAGGAATCTGGCTGTAATTTCTGAATAACAGAAATGGTGTTTTTGTGCATATTTCCCCAGATTTCATTCAATGAGTAGGATATATGC